AAATCCTTCCAAGTCTTTCACATAAGTGAAAAAAAAACACTTTTAAGCACTCACTTTGCAAAATGGCTTTCCAATCAACATTAATGATTGCACCAACATGGGTATAATGCTGTATCTTGTAGATGTGGTTTTAACAAAAATGTACCACAGGGTCAATGCAGTCATCTCAGTAAATCCAGTCTCAGACATTGTCTTTTTAATAATGTTTTACTGCACACAAGAAAGTTCCAGTGAACATAACTTCAGAGTCATTAGAAGTACAGTATGAGCAAATGGTCAGACACAAATAATCCAGTGCTTCTGATATTATGATTTACTTCATCCTATATTTTTAGTTAAAACTGATTTAAACATGTGGTATGTGTATATAGTTAGTGTGACAACCTGCTCCTCATGTGATTTCAACCATGTTGAAATTTAAAATAGTCACTGAAATGCCACTTGTTTTTACTGGTGGCATTTTGACATTTTGAATGTCTGAATAACTCCAAAACTTTAGCAACCAAAGTTTCAAGATACTGACAAGCACTGTAAAGTTAGCTCAGGCAGCGATATGTCACACTGGTTTATACTACAATTTTTTCCCCCATACAAATAAACATTAAACTGTTTAATTTAAAACAAAGCACATCTTTAAATAGCACTTAAAAAATGTATTAAAAGTTTGCTGTAGAATCACCTTCTACTGCAAGTGTATTACTATACACTTGCAGTAATGCATTACTGTTGATATTTACAAAATTAAAGTTGAACACACTACAAAACTAACTAAAAGAACAGAATACAACTGAATTAAAGGAGCTTCCACCAGGAACAAAATAAACCCCATCACTTAACAAGGTGATGTGTTTATATTGAGTTTATTTTCACGTAGCAGGACTACCATTTTTCTTCTTGCTAACGGTCTTCCACAGGCTGCGGAGGGCTACTCGGGCCATGAGTAAGGTGATGGTGAAGTTACGCCGGTACCATTCTCTGTTAGAAAAATAAAAAAATCATGCCATATTAAATATTTATGTTGTGTTGCTGCTCTTAATATAGATCTAAATAAATTGCCCTAAGCTATAACACACTTGGGGAAACAAAGCTGCTTACTATTAGCCTTTTTTGCCCCTCTAAAAACTCAGAAACATGAAAAATTGCAAGGAAAACAATTAAATTATTTCTAAATCTTGGAGTTTGCAATGCTGATTTACAGAGGGTTCTCCGTAGGCTGTGAAATTGTTCCTCTATGCACTCAAAGTGGTTATGAGAGGTTAAATGTACCCACCCACCCAGAAAAAAGAAGAAAAACAAAACACTCACTTGTTGTAATTTGCATGTCTCACTCTATTTTTGTCCAGGAAGCTTTTGTAAAACACAGCCATTTCTTCACTGTCCAAGGCGCGCCGACGTCCTGGAAAAAGAAATATATTCAGCGTGTCATGACAAATTCCCACTAAAATACATTGATTAGTAGCTATTAGAAAAAATAAATACATTCAGATCTTACAAAGCAGGTTTGATTCTATTGAGGTCAAAAGCAAAGAAAAGTCTTGTCGACAAGCTAATTTTGTACCTGGAATTTGAGTTTTTATTCTATTTAAAACATGCCGTCATATCTTTTTTTTCATAGTTTTTTCTATTTGCTGACAAACCAGCAGCATAAAGCACGGGCATTGTGTCCTCACCCTTTTCGTCACGCAATGTCAAGCCTTTTGCCTTCAGTTGTGAAATGATAAAAGCTTCTTTTTCCTGCAGAAAGAAAAAAAAGAGATGAATCAAATAAAATGACAGCTGCCCTTTAGAGTTGTTCTCTAAAAAAGAGCTGCCTTTAAGTGTTTCAAATGGGCTTCAAATACAGAACATGTGTTACATTTTTATAAAGTATTGCATCTTGCTTTGAGATGTATATCTTTTTATACTTTAAAACTTGGCCAAAACCTTTGGACAGAACAGTAAAAATACAATTAAAAAGTATGAATGCCTTTTAAAAGTTCTCAAACAATGATTAAACATTTCATATCAAGTCTTGTAATCTTTTTCATTGTGATCTGGTCACAGTATCCAGGTTATGCTTTGCTGCCCTCTGCTGGCGAAACTGGGACCTTACACATACTTTTGATTATGATGGAACTGTCCTTCCAACCCACTTGTTTTATGTTCATGTATAAATCCAGTCAGATACATACTTTAAAAATGTCTCTGACCACAGACAAACGCTTAGAACGTAGAATATTATTCTTTGCCTTGCTAAAGGTGATGTTCTGCTTGGTCCAGAAGTCGTGGTTCCAGTCAGACGTGTCCTGCCTCAGGTTTCTCAGACGCTTCTCCAGCTCCGATTCGTTCTCGGGGATGTGGTAGACAATTGGGCGCAGGTTTGACAGTGGGTTTGGTGGACCGATCCAATCGTGAGTGGTGCTGGGCTGTGGCCTATAGGTTGATCTCTACATTTAAAAAAGAAACAAATAAAGAGCAAGCCCAGAGTTTGAGTTCCGTTGCAAATATAACATCTTATTTTAGCCTCCCTGATGTGGATGAAAACAATGGTGATTATGACACGGAGTATTAACACTGGTCAACTACAAATCATCCCATGTGAGACCTACACAGAGAGGTGAGACAGGCTCAAATAAACTTCAGGCATGTTAATTATGATTTGAAAAAGTGACAGTGGCCTTTTATGAACGTGGGAGTTACGTCAGGAGGACTGAGCCCAGCAGCTGGGCCAACACGTCTCTGCTTATCACTTCTGAGCAGACGCCACGATGAGAAGCTCAACAGGGAGGAAAACACGTTTCAGCAAGCGGACAGCAAAAAAGAGGTTTGTGCAGACTCTGTATTAAACTACTTTAGACCTCAACAGGGGCTGAAGTGTTTAAACTTTTTGCAATATAGTACAGAGCAGCATAACCTGTCCAATTACACATACTTACAATAGCTATTATAAATCTAAACTGTGACAATATTTGTGTCTTATACTGTATGTCTGAGAGTATTATTTTCCTCTAGTCTCCGGCTTTTATGATTTCTCATGTTTCTATCTCTTTTGACATCATATCAAACAATTGAGACCTTAAAGATAATCGAAATTTCCCAAATAAGACACAACTAAATTATGCTTATTTCTCATGTTTCTATCTCTTTTGACATCATATCAAACAAGTGAGACCCTAAAGATAATCGAAATTTCCCAAATAAGAGACAACTAAATTATGCTTTGGAGCAAACAAATATATCTCAGTACATTAGCATATTCTTGCATGGATTGGAGTAGTAAAAAGTCATGTATGTTTTCCATAAACAAGGGAATTCACTGGCACAAGTCAGAATACATATTGTTCTTTTTTTTTTTTGCTTGTTTGTTTGTTTGTTTCCCCCTCAGGCGAGTTGGGTAAATTACAGTTAGCAACAATCATTAACAAAGTGTCAATAAGCTAGCTAGACAGTCTGCGGTGGGCGCGTGGCTGTCTGCAGGTGGGGTGATTAATATCTTATAAAAGGTTGTACCTTTACTGGTTTGTCCTCCTGGGCTGTCTGCTTGGAACTGCAGAGCCGTAAACTCACTGCTGAAAAGCGGTGTGGGCAATGGGGAGCGAGGGTAGAATCCCATACGCTTCTCCATGTTAAACGTCCCGCCGCCACTGTTTTGGTGGCCATTTTAATCAGCCGACAGCAGGCCGAGTTTTAATCCAAACGTGTAGGGTTGAGGTCGCTGTTTCAAGAACAGAAACACACGTTTAACGGAGTCCATGTCCTTCTGGGTAAATTTGGAGAATGGGTCACGTGAACGCAGCAGGGTCGTGGGGCGCGTTTGAAAATCTCACCCTGACAGCTCCGGTCTGTTTACGCTTCCTGCGCGCAGATTTTCTACGGTGGCCGGAAAGCGCAGCGCACGAAATATGATTACGATTAAAACAGATTAAATATCTATCAATCGAAGAAAAAGACTAATAGAAAAAAAATTCTAACAAATATCAATAAATGTGAAATTATCAAATGCAACTAAATCATTTTTCTGGCTTCGTCTATTCAAGTGCTGTTGATTCACTTTGTAGAACGGAATTTTGTTTTGAAATGTGTTGTTCTGTAGCGTTCAAGAGTGGAACGATTCCTTCTGTTTTTCTGATACGTTTGCGTTCTTTCTTATGCTTATTTGTATGGTATAGTTTTGTTTTTTCTTACAAGGTCTGAGTTATTACTATTATGCAATTTGAAAATTTGCTTTATTTATTGTACTGCTAAGATCCTTTTGCAAGGCATGAGTTTTTTTTGTTCTTGTAAAAGAAGTGTATGTTTATGCATTTAGCAGACGCTTTTATCCAAAGCAACTTACACAGTAGTCACAATATTACATCTATCATCAGTCCGACAAGTTCAGTGAGATGCCTAAGTCGTTTTATTTTGTGAACGGTGTTTATCATTTTCATCCCCGCCCATTCGACGACATAAACTGAGTAATGAAGCGCCCCCTTAAGTTGGACGACTAAAACTAACCCTCAACGAAAACAGTAAAGTTGTCCACTCAAAAGAGACATGGTTTACATGTATTTTTTTTACATTTGTATTAATTCACTATAAGTAACCTTAACAACACGTAACAATTGGTTGTTTGTGAAACACAAACAAATGGCAGGAATAAATCTCATCGTTACAAGTTAAACTCCGTGTTAGTTTATGTGTGTAAATTGTAAAGTAAGTATAAGAAGGTAGCTAGGTAAGCTAATGTTCAGTTTTAATCTGAGAAGGTGCGTTCTTTACAGCGATATTTCAGATGGCTGTGCGCTGGCTATGCAGGTAAGACGGTTGCTTTAAAGTAATGAAGTCGTGTTGATGTATTAACCCTAAAAACCCGAACTTATTTGGCCAAGGTGGGGCAGTCAGGTGATCATCGACAGCTCTGACACACACAATGGCATTTGCTGAGTTAGACGCGGAACCGTTTTCGTTGCGTTCCCTGAACTCAAACCCTCTAATGTCGACATTTATCACCATTTATTATCTTTAAACCGAATTGCTCTAAAGTGCGGCGGTAAAAGACCCAGGTTTTTTGGCGGTGGGAGGGGCGATAGCAGCCTGACCGCAGTCAGTCAAGTCACTAGTCGATGGTTCGGTGCCGAAGCTGACCGGAGCACCATCGTCTGCTCCACCGAACGTTCTGCTGTTTATTTATTTTTTCTGAATGTTTTTATTTTATTTTAGCGTCTAGCTTTTTTGGGCTCTACTTGGATGCCGATTTTCCTCCGCGCGTCGCCCAGCTTTGGCTGATGGAAACGGACATCCGCGAAAATGTGTGCGAATGTGTTCGGAGTCTTGAAAAGGTGAGACACGGCCGGGCGCGTGCGTGTGCGTGCGTGCGCACGCGCTGGGGTCTTTTTTTTATTGCAGCTGGTAGCATCTGGAGATGGATGGATCGGATGCTGGTGGTGTGGTTGCTGGTTGGTGGCCGGTTTCGGGGATCGATCGCCCATAGCAACCGGCCAGATGCTGGGGGGGGGGGGATTTGGGGGTATTTTAGGGGGGCATAATGGGCCAAACCGCGTGTTTCCCCGGCCGGGAAGGCTTAGCCGGGGGCCGGGGGGGGGGGGAGCTGTCTGGTGAAGGCTTTAGAAGTCTGTTACCTGCAGCTCATCAATGCTGTGACTCAGTGAAAGGAGCCAGAACCTCCATACATCACGAGTCAGAGCTCTTTGTTTTTTTTTTGTTGTGGTTTTCCCACCCATTTTTTATTTGTCTGCCTTGATCAAAATAACGGGACGAGGTGTTTGCCAGGCGGCATGGGATTTTGCTGAGATTATCCTAATAAATACTCAGAATTGGAAGCTTTGGCGTGGCGTGCGCTCATCCACTATTCTGGAAATGCCCATCCCCGTCGCCCTCTTACGTAAAAGTACTTTAGGGAATGCTGATACATAATCCCGTCTGTTCTAATAAGCGTTATTGACCCCTTTGGAGAACAAAATATTATATTGTGGACTATAGTATGTCTTATGCAACAATTGCACGTGAATCCAGGCTATCTTTGCTGGTAATGCTGCCTCTAGAGCTATGTTCTAATGCTAAAAAACACATCTATTCTTTCATTTCACCCTGTGCATTGTGTAGTAGATATAAAATGTCTGGTTTAGCTTTCTCCTGTCTTCCTCCCACCTGTAATCTGTGGTCAGAGGGCAGCAGAGTCAGGTGTAACTTCAACAATTTGTAAACTACACATCTTGGCTTTTTTCTCTCTGCCTTAGTGCCATGTCAGAGTGGCTCAGATATAGCAATAACACATCCCTGGGGCGTTTTTTGAGTCTGAAACCGCACGCAAGAGTTCAACTCAATCTAGGAAATGTTTCGGAAAGTTATGCAAGATACAACAATTGTTACAAAAAAAGATGTTAACTTGCAGAGACAGGCAGTTACTTCAAAGAGACACAAATAGTCTACAAAGATGCTCATTGTTTTTTGAAGATTATATTTAAATCATGTTTCATGTTGAGCATCATTTTACCATATCAACAACAAAGCGTCTCTAAAAAGGTTTGTGACAGTCTGGTCTTGATTCATCCCAGTGTTGACAAGTTTGGAGATTTAGAACAGTCAAAAATTACCCAAAACGTTTGCCAAACGAGGTGCCTGGATCCTAATCCGAGTTTACTCACCAGCAAATGCCAGGATCCCCCTGAGATTCAAAAGATTAAGCCCCTCCTGTTGGGAAGGGACCCATCTAATAAAAGGCTGGCAAGCAAATGTACACTATATTGCCAAAAGTATTTGCTCACCCATCCAAATTATCGGA